ATTACTCAAACTTTTCCTTACTAATTTCAGGGGCAGACATGTCAACTTGACACATAGTGGAAATATATATAGTCACATTTATTGCATTAGAAAAATTCATTTAAGCCACACAGTGGCTGGATCTCCCACACCCTGAGCAGGTCTGATCATCCCACAACCCTCTTTAGACATTATACATAAACACATGTGCACTACATTGGAGGAAGAACTTAAATGTACAACTGAGACCTGAACACTGGATATTCCAACCTCTCTCTCCTTATTGCCAACCCATAACCCCTTAACTGCTGTCCAAACAGCTCTCATGGAAGAGACTCAGGATCAAACCAACCAGAATATACGTATGTCCAAGAGTCCTTCATCTTCCAACAGCTGAAGTTGGTACACCTCCATCTCAGAGCACACTGCAGGACAGCAAAGCATATGGCAAACGTCGGAAGAATGAGATTCCTTCCCACAGCCAGACAACCCACTCACACCTCTACATTAGATATGCCCTTTTCCAGGGTAAGGAACAACCAAAAAAAGGCCCTTCCAGGCCTACTAACAGTTCTTTGGAGACACCGACGCTGCCTCTTTGGAAATGGAGCACTTGGTTGAACATGCTGATGTTAGTGTGCCAAAGTACGGCTGATTTCTGGATGGAGGTTTTATTGTACGCCTCTAGATGCATGGTCTGGTAGGCCTTTGGGAGGCTCTGTGTTGTCCAGCTGACCTCTGGTGACCCAGGGGCTCCCAGGCAATGGGCTCTCCAATAAGCCCTCCAGTGACTCCATCAGTCTAACAAAGACGGACAGCAGGGTCAGTATGACCCCCAGCAGATAGAGGTTCACCATATACTTCATGGCTGCTATGTCCAGCTCCTTTGCAGGGAAGTAGAGCTGCTTTCTGCTTCTAGACCCTGTGAAGAAAGAGGAAAAAGAGTCTATAATCTAGTCTCTGGGGATGTGTATGCATCCTTCAACTCTGATTTTCCTGGGAGCGAGAGAAGCCCCGCCAGCCAGGCAGCCAGAGCCACTCACTGTATGTCTGCTCACAGCATCATCCCCGTGTGTTTGCACTGCAAACACCACGGCTGAAGAACAAATCACACACTGGAATCATTTCCAGAGCACCGTTTACAACTGTTTGTCTTCGCTCTTCTCACTCTTTCCAGAATCCTGCTCTGTTGCCCAGGCTAGCCTCATACTTGAAGCAATCCTCTTGTCTGTGCCTCTCAAGTGCTGGGATTACAGAGACATTCCACATATCCAGCTACTTGTACTTCTCTTGAAGACCATTCCTACCAAGAGCAACGGACAGACCCCATGTTGCCATGCCAGTACTTCCCCTTACATAACGAACTATAAGAAAAATCATGCTGGAGAGACATGGGCTCAGCTGTTAGCACTGGCTGATCTTGCAGAGGACTGGAGTTTGAGTCCCAGCACCCACATGGCAGCTCACAATCATATGTAACTCCAGTCCCAGGGAATCTGATACCATCTCTGGCCTCTACGGGCACCACACACCCAAGTTGCATAGCAAACATGCAGACAAAACGTGAGGCACAATACACACACACACACACACACACATGAAAATGCTAGATGGGGCTGGTGGTGCATGCCTGGGGCTACACAGTGACTTAAAACCCAGCCTGGGCAACTTAGTGAAACCCTGACTCAAAAGGTGTAAAAAGAGGTTTGAACCAGGCAGTGGTGGCCACACCTTTAATCCCAGCATCGGCAGTCAGATCTCTAAAGCCAGTCTGGTCTACAGAGCAAGTTCTAAGACATCCAGGGCTACACAGAGAAACCCTGTCTCGGGGATAAAAAAAAGAGACTGAAAATATAACTCAGTGGTATAGAGAGCTCGCCTAGCATGCTGCAGCACCACAAGAATAGAAAATAAGAACATGCTCTAGATAAGACAACCTGTATATTAGTCGACTGCACCACACATTTGATTATAAACGTCTTGAAAGTCAATATAAATATAAACGATAAGGGTGGCAAAGGCCTGTAATCCCAGCTATGAAGGAGGCTGAGGCAGAAGGAATGCATGTTTAAGGGCGGCCTGAGCTACAGAGAGAGAGTTTAGAAGCTACTTTGGGGGACTTTGGTGAAGCCTTGTCTCAAATTAAAAAGGGCTGGCCCAGTGGTATAAACCTTAGCATATACAAAATTCTATGTTCAATCCCTAGTACCTCAAAACAAAGAGCAGTAACCGCAGAATAACTGAAAGTTGAATCAAGTTAATTTGTCCAAGCATACTTGAATGCTTTCAAATAGTTCAGTCATTCTGGAAGAAACTTAGGGCCACGCGGTCGTCCCACAAGACAAGGACCCAGCCTTCAGGGGGGCAGTTACTACACAACACTCCAATAGATACATTAGAGAGGGGAAGACGAGGGTGCTTTGGGCAAGCATGGTGGGCGAGCATCGGCGGCCTGTGGGGTTCATAGATCGGCAGAGAGCCCAGGGAGGCTCTGGAGGCACAGCCCTGAAGGGGGGCGCAGGCGCCTGACCGACCACAGGGCGAGGGATCCAGGATTTGGCCTCCAGCCTGGAGGGTCCTGGACCAGTTACCTCAGGAAGAAGAGTCGGGAGACGGCTGCTCGCGGTCACAGCAGGTCGTGCAGGCCTAAGGAGGAAGATCCGCAGAGTCGCAGCGTGGGAACTCCACGCAGGCACCGCTCGGGATACAAATAAGCAGCAGAGAGAAACCGACGTCTCGAGGCCCCGCCCACCATGGCCGAGGCCCCGCCCCCGGAGACCGCGCACGCGTACCGAAGCCGCACGCACGCTTCCCCGGTGCACGTCCGCTCTTCGCCCTGCCCCTGCGTCAGCCGGACCGGTCACCGCGGAGTTTCGAGGGAGTCGCGGCGAGCACGCGGCTTGCGGTTGACTCACTGCTGTCCGGAAGGGGTCTGGCGTGAGGATCAACCCTGCCGGCCTTCTTCTAAGACAGCCAAGGCGCCTTGACCCCACCCTCCCCGCCGCCGTGCTTGAAGTGACACCCCTCGGGACGGGTAGTGGGTGAAGGCCCGGCAGGGGTTCTTCTTTTGAGCAGGTCCTTACTGAGTAGCCCGGGCTGGCCTCGAACCCTCCCGAGTGAAAGTGAAATATTCTCCTAGCGTTGGGCTTGGCTCTTAACGGTGCTTTGGACAAATCACCTTGCCCCCAGTGGCTCCGGTCCTCAGTGAGGGTATTGGCTCCTAGATGCTTTTTGTTTTCTCTCATTTAAAACAAACAACTAGCTTTTAAAGGTGCCTTCAGCGTGAACGAGAGAGGGAGAAGGTCTTGGTCCAGGCTTCATACCTGGAAATTGATCTGCCTTACTAGTCACCCACAGCTCCAACCAAGACAATGCAGACGTGTTGTCCCAAAAGGGGAATCTCTTCTGAGATTCCTGGGGAGATCGAGAGTGGGAAAGGCCCCCCTAGAATTACGGATAATTCTAACAGTGAATATCCACACGTGGAAGGTTGTGGGTGGCTCCTATCTATGCCTTCTCGGGGTGAAGAGTGGACTGTGGTGGAAGGCAGGGATCGGGGGTCCCTCGATCTCTAGGATCGCTGAGTCAGTGTACCAGGACAAGAACCAAGTCCGTGGGGGTGGGGGAGAAGCCCTCCCCTCTAAGCCAAACAGTTGAAGGGAGGAAGCAAACTCCCGCCGTGACCTTTCCCCTACTTTCCAGGATGTCTAGTCTGTTGCGGAGGGGGTGGGGATGCCCGGAAGAAGAGAGACGAAGAGAGACGTGCTGGCCGGCAGACAGAAGTCCATGGAATCAACTGAGCAACCCACACCAATTTTGGTTCATCGTTTACAGTGTCTGTGCCCCTTTACCCAGAATTCCACTTCTGGGAATTATCCCTCAGGTAATCCCACCTGTGGAGAATGGCGTTATCACAGTACTGTGCCCAGTAGGGAAGGACTGAGAAGGCCCACCAATAAAAGCTGTTTATATAAATCATAGGGCATTCATACAGGGATTGCCATAAGCCAGGAAAAGAAAAGGCAGTCTGTATATACGTTCACAGTCTCCACAGTATGTTGTTAAGAAAAGGTAAGTATAGGACCGAGCTGGGGATGTAGAGTGCTTGCTTTATCTATAAAGGTAAAGGTCTCCACGTAAACCATCCATAATCCCAGCATTTGGGAAGTGGGTGCAGGGAGAACAGTACAAATTCAAGGTCTTCTAGTACCTAGTGAGTTGGGGTACAAGCAACACTTTCTCAAAACTACAGGGCTTTAATCCCAGCCCTTGGGCAGGGGCAGGCTGACCTCTAAATTCAAAGCCCGCCAGATCTACAGAGCGGATGACTTTTGGGATAGCAGGGCTACACACGGAAACCCTGTCTTGAAAAACTAAAATAAAAAAATAAAGCAAAACAAAAACCACTGATATGTGCCCTAATGTCGATGAAACGTGAAAACATGCTAATTGAAAGGAAGCAGACTGGTAGCTGGAGAGGTGGCTGAGCAGTTAAGAGCACTGGCTGCTCTTCATTGAACCCAGGCTCAGTCCCCAGCATCCACAGAGTGGCTCACAACTAGCAGTGTCTGGCCTCACCAGGTACTGCACACATGTAGTACAGAGTCATACAAATGCAGGTGAAACATTCATACCCATAAAATGATTTAAAAGACACGTGTATCATTCCATTTAGGTGACATGTCAGAATAGACAAATCCAAAAATCTAAAGAGATAACATAAATTAGTGGTCACCACACTAAAAGGAGGGAGGTTTTTGATAAAAGATCTTGCTATATAAAATACACATTAGGCTAGCCTGGAGATCTCCCTCCTCTGGCCCCTGAGTGTTGGGGCCACTATAGCCAGCATGAGGTTTCTTTTTCTGGTGGGTGATGAAATGTTCAGAAATGAGTGGTGATAGTTGCACAAATCTGTGAATGCACTCAAAACCACTAAATTATATGCTTCATTTAAAAGCTGAAATTTAGACTGGGAATGTAGCTTTGTTGGTAGAGTGCCTAGGACGCTCAAGTCCTAGGTTCAATCCCCAGCATTGTATAAATTGAGTGTGATGGTGCATACCTGTAATTCCAACACTTCGGAGGTGGAGGGTCAAATTTTCAGGGTCATTTTTCAGATACATAACAAATTTAAAAGCAACTTGGGAGATATAGGAACTTATTACACACATCGGAAACTGAACTTTGTTGCATGGATTATGTCTGAATAAAGTCAGATTTTTAACTTTTGAGTCAGGGTCTTGCTGGCTTTAAACTCTCCATCTCTTCTTCAGTCTCCCAAATGTTGTGATTACAGGTGTAGGCCACCCTCAAGAACATTATTTGTCTTTAAAAGAGGTTAAAGACATCTTCAGATAAACAAACAGAGAGACACCACAGGCCTTTACAAAGGAAACTTCTGATGTGCTTGAGAAGAAAAGTAAGGTCAAAAGGAAATGAGCTGCCCGAAGAAAGTGGTCAGATGTTTAGAAAACACATGGGAGAGTCAAAACTGTTTCTAATAATAATGATTAGTGTGGGAACGTAAAGATAAGATGAACTAAGAAAACCCTGGTAAACATTGAAGATGGGAACAGGAGCCTGGGTGTGATGTTGAATATCTACAGCACTAGCATTGGCAAGGTGAGGCCGGAGGGTCCGTCGGATGTCAGTTTCTACTGTGTAATGAGCTCAAAGCCAGCCTAGGCTACTGGAGCCTTCGGTCTTGGTTAATCCTGATTATCAGCTTGATGGAATTTAGAATCACCATGGAAACAACTCCTGGGAAAGTCTGTAAGGGTATTTCTGGATTAACCATAGTGGGGGTCCTGGACTGAAAGAAAAGAACCGAGCATCAGCATCCATGCAATGCTACCAGCTGTCCCGTGGGGTTGCTGCCAGCCTTTCCCATCCCGCCCTGATGGACTGATAACCTCAAATTCTACTCCAAGATAAGCCCTTCCAAGTTGCCTTTGTCAGGATACTTTATTATAGTAATAGGAAAGTAACTACCGCACTCTATTTCACAGTGGCTTTTGTCAGGCTGCTTTATTATTACAGCAAGTAGGAAACTAACTACCACATGGTATTTCACAGTGGGCGTCGGTCGGGGAGGCCTCAGGGAACAGATAAAGTTGAGCCAGTCTTCTCATTTGGGAGGAAAGTAGCTATTCACTTTAGATTTTTTTGTGTCTTCAAATTAAAATACTTGCCAAGCTCAGTGACTTTTAATTCCAGCATTTGGGTGGCAGAGGCAGGCCGAGCTCTGTGGGTTTGAGGCCAGCCTGGTCTACATAGCGAGTTCCGGGATAGTCAAAACTACATAGAGACCCTGTCTCCAAAAAGAAAGAAAGAAAGAAAGAAAGAAAAGAAAACAAAACAAAAGGATAGATCTCCTTCTTGCTCCCTATCCTGAAATTTTCAGTTTTCAGACCATCAAGTAGGACAGTCAAGTTTCAGCTGAGCACACTCCTGTTGCTCTTGCAACCTGAGAGGCGGAGGCAGTCTGTCATGTGAAGCTAGGTGTGGTGAATCACATCCTAATCCTACCACTTAGGAGGCTGAGAAAGCATGGAGATTTTGGGGCCTACTCCAGATGCTTAGCCAGAACTGGAATCGGCAGGGGCCAGGGAAGGAAGGAAAAAAGGAAGGAAGAGATTAAAAGTGGGGAAAACCCCCAAAACTAAACAAAACAACCCCCCCTCCCCAGCAGTTTCTGCTCTGAAAAGGAGTATGTGACCCAGAATGTAAGTTCTGCTCACTGCTGGATCCTCAGTGTCAGACATGTTCAATCAATACTGGATAAGGGAGTGATGGATGATTGGTTCACTCACTTCTGCACCCTCAATGTCATGTCTCACAGCAGCCTTCCTAAACAGCCCTTAGTGTCAGTACCAGAAACAACCTCCATCTCCCCTACTTGGCTTCACTTTGTATTCATAGTGCCCAACACCATCATCTCACATTTGTTTGTCAATTATTTTCTCCCACAGGATTGTAGCTCTGTGAGAATGAGGATTGGGATTGCTCTGAAAATTGCTCCATACCTAAACCAGAACAATGCCAGGCATTTAGCAGGCGCTTATATATTTGCTGAATGAATCATTTTGTGTAAACGAGACAGTTTCATAAATTTTTGGAAATAAAAGAACAGCTGCTGAAATACTGTCAGTGTTTGTTTTGTTTTGGTGTGGATTTTGTTGTTGCTGTTACAATTTTTCATTTCATTTTACATACCAGCCAGTTTCCCCTCCCTCCTTTCTTCCCATTCTGTCCCCCAACCTCCCTCCTACACCCCCCCCCCCCCCTCCTCCATCTATTCCTCCTCCTCTCCATTCAGATGGGGTAAGGTCTCCCTTGGGAATCCACAAAGCATGGCATATCAAGTTGAAGCAGGACCAAGCTCCTCCCCGCTGCATCAAGGTTGAACAAGGAATTCCACCACAGGGAATAGATTCCAAAGCTCATGCATCAGTGACAGGTCCTGGTCCCACTGCTAGGGCCTCCACAAAAGACCAAGCTACACAACTGTCACCCACATGCAGAGAGCCTAGGTCGGTCCCATGCTGGCTCCCTAGCTGTCCGTGCAGAGTCCCTGAGCTCTGGTCAGCTGTCTCTGTGGGTTTCCCCATCATGATCTTGACACCCCTTGCTCATATAATCCCTCCACCCTCTCTACAACTGGACTCCTGGAGCTCGGCCCCATGCTTGCCTGTGGACCTCTGCATCTGCTTCCATCAGGTACTGGATGAAGGCTCTTTGATGACAGTTAGGGTACTCACCAATCTGATTACAGGGGAAGGCCAATTCAGGCCTCCTCTCCACTATTGCTAGGAGTCTTCTTAGCTGGGGTCATGTTATTACAGTTTTTGTTGTTATTGTTTATGTTTTTTTAAGACAGAGTCTCACTCCACAGTCCAGACCAGCCTGAAACTCACCATATGGCCTTGAACTCATATCAATCCTGCATCAGCCTCCCGAGCCCTGGAGTTGTAGGTGAGAACCAGTACATCCAGCTTTATTGGTATTTGTTATACATCTTAACAGTGTTCCTCTTTGGGTCATAAGATGACAATTTATCTTCTAAATTTTTCCCCACTGGTATTTGTTACAGCTATAATCTCAGAAAAAAATTAAAGTTTACTAGTATTTGGTAGCTTTGCTGCCCGAGCTCTTTATGTCCCGTTCCCCCCCCCCCCCCCCCCGTGATGTTCTGGGTATTGGACCAAGGTCTTGTACATGCTGGGCAAACATTCTACCACTGCGCCCCACCCTTATGCCTGCCTTAGTCTTGACCTAGTTTTTCCATCTAAACTCATGTGTTGTTTTCCCTTCACTGCATGAAACAGTGAGATGTTAGCAGGAGTGAGAGGCAGGGTGTGGAGAACCAGGGGAAAGTGGATCCAGAGGAATCACTGAAAGATTGGCCCCCAACACAAGCAGTGACTTCTCCAGCCTATCTGGGTCAGTAGCCTCAATCCAGAATCTGGTTCTTTTGCAACTAAGCACAAAGCTGAGGCAAGTCACTCTTCCAGGCCTCAGTTCTCTCATCAGGGCAGCGTGCTGTGGAGTCAGGGGTGCCTCTTGGCACGATAGGCCCCCTGTTCCCCAGGTCCATTGGGGATTTTGGTGAACAGTGCAGTCAGTGTAGGAGGGAGTCTAGGGTTTAAAACCACAGCGGGATCTGGGGAAATGGCTCCAGCAGATAACGTGATGTCACAAAGCCTGATGACCTGCATTTGGTCCTTGGGACATATATGGTGGAAGGAGAGAACTGTATCCCTAAAAGTTGCCTTCTGACCCCCACATGCTCACTGTGGCACACATGTGGCCCCACGCATACACATGTATGCACACATAATAAAGAAATAAAAATGTAATTTATGTAAACCGCACTAGTCATCCTAGTATACAGGAGGATCTTGCATTTGAAGCCAATTTGGGCTACATAGTTAGATATTGTTGGGGGAGAAACTGAGATTGAAAAAGAAAGGATCTGTTTGTTTGATTCCTTTTGTGTTATGTGTGTGTAAGCACATGTGTTTGAGCAAGTCCCAGGAGTTGCCATTGTGGGGTTTGTGGGAGCCCACAGAGGCTTCCTACTGAGAACTTACTTAGGGTCAGAGAATCTGGGCTTGCTTTACCCAGCAGGGCTGAGTAAGGAGATGATTGGACTTCGGGCATGTTTACTACGTGTTTGGAAGGGTCTACACTTGGCTGTACAGTGTGCTTTGATCTTGCAAGGGGGAGGTCTTTCGCCTCTCCCCTGGGCATATTATAAAAAGCTCTTTTCAATAAAGGACGAGCTGTTGGGTATTGACCCAGGCCAACCCAAAGCTATCCTGTGTTTCTGTCTTTCTTCTCGTCAGCTAGGTCTCTCTTTCTAGCTACCATTTTCTCATTCCTCTCTCCTCCACCTAAGAACCCTTCAAAAGGTGGGAGTAGGTCGGAGCTGGACTCCCACAGACTCCCACAAACTCCTACGGGGATTTTTGTTTGTTTGTTTTTGACAGGATCTCACTGTGTATCTTGGCTGGGCTGGAACTCACTGTGTAATCAGGTTAACCCAACTCTTAGACACCTGTCTGCCTCTGCCTCTTGAATACTGAGGTTAAAGGTGTGTGCCACCATGCCTGGCAAACATGAGCTGTCTTTTTCAATTACTATCTGTCCACTTTGTTTTTTTTTATTTTATGTGTGTTGATGTTTTATCTGCATGTATGTCTGTACACCACATGTGTGCCTGTTGACCTCAGAGGCCAGACGGGGACATGAGTTCCTCCAGCACTGGAGTTGCCGATAGAGGGTACTAAGAATCAAACCTGTCCTCTGGAAGAGCAGCAGTGTGCTCAGCTGCTGAACCATCTCACCAACCCAGAACTTGATCTTCTGTCTTTGCAAAGACAATCTCATACAGCTCAGGTTAACCTCAAATTCAACATGCAGCTCTTGTAGGAATTTAGCAGAATCACTCTACGGGGTAGACATTAGAACAAACAGCTGTTTTTTAGAAGTACTTTGACCTTGAAGAATCCTTGTGGAAAACAGTGATTGTTTGGCTGAAGGGGCTTTACAACCATCCCATGACTTTGGTCACAAGACACCTCAGGCACACCTGAGGCTGTTGTGTTATTGTGGATTGTATATGATACATAATAAAGGACTAGAGTCACGAGGCATGTGACGATCTCCTTCAGTAAGACATGCAAATTAAGATTAGGGATCTTGGTATGAAGAAATACTTCATGTAACTTTCAATAAATATGCCTTTGTTGGCTGTTCCGGGTTCAGTCCATCCGAAGAGGCTGGACCTTCCTGCTGACACATTAAAATTTCATCTTGGGAGTGCCTTCTTTTTTCATCCGGCCTGAGCTACATGATGCACCCCAACATGCAGCTGAGGCTGGCTTTGAACTCCTAATCTTTCTGCCTCTATCTCCTAAATGCTGGGATTACAGGTGTGAACCACTATGCCTGGCTGACTTCAAAAACTTCATAGCAGTAAAATTAAAGTTTAATAATTAATCAGCATCTATAAAATCTTACTTGTCAATTAGACAATTGAAATTCAAAGTTGAACATGGTGGTGCCCACCTGTAATCCCAGCATTTAGGATTCAGAAGCAAGCCTGCTGTGAGTTGAAGTTCAAGGCAGCCTACTGGATCTTGTCTAAAAAGCAAACAAAACAAAGAAAAGAAAGCCAGCAATTCAACATAGTAACAACTTCTTCCAACCGCCTCCTCCTTTCTCTCCTTTTCCTCCCAAGACAGGGAAGCCCTGTGCAGCCCAGGCTGACTTCAAGGTTTCTATGTGGAAGAGGATGTTCTTGAACTCAGGATCCTCCTGCTCCCACTCCGGAATGGCCGGATCACAGGCATTAGCCACTCTGCCCAGCGTTTTCAGTTGTTTGGTTTCTGAAATAGGGTCTTCCTCTGTAGCCCAAGCTGGCCTGGAACTGTGTGGCCCAGATTGGCTTTGGACTTCTGCTCCAGCTTCCCGAGAGCTGAGATTACAGGCATGTGCCACCATACTCACTGTGTACAAGGCTGGAAAGTGAGAATGGATGCAACTGGCAAGTTTGTAGTCTCCTGAGTTCCAAGTAGAACTACTTGGAAAGGTGCTGTCACCTCTTGGTATCAATGGGAAACTGGTTTCAGGACACTGCAGCTCCCAGAAACTGCAGGTTCTCAAGTCCCTTATGTAAAATGCCGTGGGGTTTGCCTGACGTTTGTTTACTTGTCCTTCTGAATACTTTTGTTTAGATTAATTATGAGACCTGTCCTCGTATAGATTACACCTGTATCATATAATGCAATGAAAATACTATATAGTAATAGTAGCTATACTGTATTGTTTTTAGGGAATAATGGGGGGGGGCATTGAAAAGAAGCCCACAAATGTTCACAAAGAATAATAGTGGGGGTGGGGTGGGAGGAAGCCCATACATGTTCACTACAGAAAATTTCTTTGTATTTTCAATCCAAAGTTGCTTGAATCAAGTCTACAGAAGATTGATGATATTATAAAAAGAAGAAAAAAAATCAATGGATGTTTGAAAAGCACAGATTAACAAACAGCTTAGGATAAATTCAGAAGGGGTCCCATTTCTTCATCTCAGTGGAGGAGCTCCTCTGTGTAGGTACTGAGCATCAAAGGAATCTAGGCAGATAGACGAGGGCTCACTGTGAGCCGCCTCACGGCACACCCAGTCAGCAACCACAGCTGAATGTATGTGTAGACCTCTTATTTGCTTCTTGCCCCAAATCACCAAAGTGAGAACTGGAGCTTTCCTCTCGTCATTTTGCCTTGGCACCCACAGTGAGCTCTGAGCAAGGGGGAGCCCAGGCATCTGCCAGTGGGCCAGGCCTGGAGTGAGTTACGCTGCTTGGCAATTGGTGTGGAACTGCTGGAGAACGTGAGCATCTTGCTGGCAAAGCCAGGAGGTGGAAGACGTGGGTAGAAGTATTGGGGTGCAGTGGGATTTCCTGTTTTCTGTGCTCTTTTCATTCATAATTACCACACTATGTCCTCTTCACACACATATGTCCTGCACTGACACACGCTTGAACTTGACTACATTCTCTCTTTTCCTAGTTGGCTGGCATCTCTCTCCCAGACAGATGCCCAGACATTTCTCCTGCCAGCTGGCTGACTCTG